GAAGAGATTTCTCCTGCAGAAATATTTAGCTGATGAACGACTGATCGATTGAAATACAATGGCATACCTTGAGCTTGGACAAGCTTGATTCAAAACACGATATCCAATGCTTCTTGAAGTAGCTTTCTGGGGCGACACACAAACTGGTGATTACCAGAGGAAACGCTACGTTCCAATACCGCGGTTTTGACATCATCTCTCTTGCTTTTGGATAGATAATCTCGATTGCCTTAGCCCACATGGGATTGTTAGTTTCGGCCTGAGCGGTCTATAAATTGCATTTTGAGATCGAGTCCTGGAGATCCCACGATTACCCGTACCTTTCCAATCGGATGCAAGATTTGTACCAAAGTCTCAGCAAATGCGGACTTTAACTTGAAACCGTGGGCGTGGGCAAAGGATTTCGCAAAAGACTCCAAAAACTCAGCGCCTTCTTCAAAAGCTTCCGGAGGCCAGACCTAGAGAATCTCTGTGAGGCCCTGACCTTGGTGGAAAGCGAAGTGATCTACCTTCAATTGCACGTGTTTGATACCTCTGACGAGATTCTCAAATTTCATGTCATCTTTGGTAACTTGACCCTGAGCAACCGGGCCTAGTTCCGAAAGGAATCGATCTGTGATACTCACAAATCTTTTCGTGAAAAGGATGTTGGTTCCAAGCTCAACTCAAGCTTAAGCAATTGCTTACCTGACATTCGCCAAATGTCCTAGCATAGTAGCGTATAATTCTGCATTAGTGCGATGATTCGCAGACTGCAACAGAAGCTTGAGGTCTGGTTTCTTGAACTGCTCGAAAGTGGTCTTCTCCAGACTATACCCCAGGGCTTCTCCTAGCCCATCTTTCGGTAGTGACTGTAGCACTGCGATTAGAGCACGGCACATGATGTAGATCGCTGCTAGCGACTTGCGCTCGTTGAGCAGATTAGGAACGTCCGTCGTGCGCACAGTACGGACAGCGCCAGGAGGAGACTGAGCCATATGAAACCTGATGATGTCCGATCCAACATTTTCCACCTGACTTTTCCGCCATCGCATAACGGAATCGACAACAGGCTTCGCATGCTTCTGTGCAATCTTGCCCAGAGAATTTAAAATTCCGTCGAACGCCGAATCGACACCAGGTCCCATGAAAAGGGTCAACAGAGGTTCTTGTTCCTGCGATCAATTTAGAACAGAAACTGTCAACGAAGAATCATGGCGCACCAAAAATTGCCGTAGAAACGTATCAATTTTCCCTTCAGCTAGACTTGCAAACCGGATGAAGACTGCGTGCAGTGCAAAGTCTGAAGGAGTCTTGGGGTCCATGACCACTTTATCTTCTTCAAAATCTGGCGTCTCTGACCGAACCATGCCATTTGGAAATCGCGGTACGGGGGGAGGAGAGGATGAAAACTGCCCATGTCCATCGCTACCAGTATCAGATATATGAAATATAGAACCGGACTGAGAGTGGTACGACTTGGCGTAGGAATGGCTTTTGGATCTAGTCGACGGCAAACCACGCATATATCTAGGTTCGGCAGAAGCGGGAGTAGCCGGTCTGCCAAATTGGGGGCTCATAGCGGGTGGAATACCCTTTGCAGAGGTTGGCATCGGCGAAACATTGTTCAAAGAGGATGTGGAGCGGTTGAAGGCATTCTTCAGCACAGAATTAGGCTGATAGTCAAGAGAGGGTACGGGGGGTAGCTCCGTGTTCTTACCGCTCTTGAAAGCATTCCTCAAGGAAGCAAAGGATGACTTTTTAGGAAAGCTGGAAGAGTTGGATGCCGCGATGGAGGAATGTGACGAATGGACAAAAGAGGTCTGGGACCTGTTAGGATATCGCACAGTAACAGAACTCGTGGAGTCGACAGACGTGACGGAGTCCCCTCTAGCATGGGCGCTGAAGTAGCTTCTGTTGTCCACCGTCGGTGTCATTAGCGTCGGTGAATCCTGGCCTGAGCCATTGGTGCTCGCCCCAAACCCTCCTCCAAATCCAAACTGGTTCCCAGCAGACCGACCGAAAGGGATTGTCGAGGAGTTGTAGTCGTCATCCTCAAAATCTGTTGAAGATTCCAGGAAAGAACCAGCAAAATGACAATCAAGGAAAACGTACCTGGAATCGTAATCTGAATTCCTTCAGACATCCTCAGTCGTCAACCAGTCGTCAAATGCGGGTATACCAATCCTCCCAACACGTCAGAGCCTCCCGTGCTGCCTCTGGCAGCGTCAAGCGACGTCAAGTCGATGTCGGATGCAGTGCAGCAGTAGGTAAGGAAGATGTACAGAACTTTTCTGCCGGTTACGATTGATGCCTCCTCTGGTAAACATATGCAAATTCCGATTAAATGTGGGTCCATGTGTATTTATTTAATCTGCGTTTTTCTCCGGACGACCACCCTATGCACAATACGATATGGAGGCCTTCTTCGATAACAAGAACAACGTTGTCAACACCCGAATTCGCTCCTCTGTAGATGAATCTGTGCTGTATACCCTGAAGACGACCTTCAACTTTCGTGGACGACATCTGACCATTCTTCAAGACGCAAATCCAGGGCCAGGAGGCGTGGTGACCGTTGGGGCAATACATTGGCAGGACAGGATTATGCAAGTCCTGGGACATAAGAAGAAATTCTCTGACATCAAGAGGCACGCTGGCAAACCCTTTCGCAAGTGAGTGGTTCACTGTGAGGGACATGTCCTTTTCTTATATGCTGATTGCTTCACAGATGCAGATACTGGAAATGGGAAGAAGGCAGGAACGAATACTCGTTAAAGTATAACTATGAAGATTGGAAGGTGCGCGTATTGTTCGCTATGTCGACCATTGTTACATGTGTCGTCCAGGCCATTCTGCCAAATGACGAGGTCGCCGGAACTTTCGCTGTTCCGTTTAGGCCGCATGTGTTTTCCAAGCCCACACCGACTACGCTCGAGCTTACTCGGGACGGGCTTGCGAAGGACGAGGTGTTTCTCATATTGATCTTCGTGTATTCAGAAGCCAAACGACAGGACCAAACGGTAGGCTCCTCTTCTTTTTGCCTACCCAAGTCTGATCGCCCTCATGTAGAACAGCTCTGTGGGTGCTGGTTCAGAAGGCTGGTAATAAAGATAATGACGGACACTAGAGCTCTTTACTTACACGGACTTTTCTGTCCCTCTCAGTGTACGGACATGCAGACTTTTATAACGGAACGGTGCATTTGTAGTATTCTCATTTCTCAACGAACATTATATCCTACGACAATATTCCCGCTGTTACGAATACTGATATTCTTCATGGAGTCGGAGCCAAAAGACCCACAGTAGCGCAAGTAGCGGAGCATCTGTGCTGGCATATGAGTGAACTATTAATATTAAAGATGAAATCACGCACGTTCCGAGCGCAGCATTGCATCCGAGAATAGCTGCAGGGGCTGCAGCCGCTGCAATGACCGTTCCAAACGTAGCTCCAGCTGCCGCATAGCACGCGACCGCCATGGTATTACAGCCTACATATTTCAGACCATCAGATAACGCCCACATACGAGTCACCTCTGTACCTACCAGTTTGGCAGATGCCATATGCGATGGGGCCTGCATAGGCTTGCGGCGCAAGGACCAAAGATGTGGCAAGACATGCGAAAGCTCGAGAGAGACGCATAATTGTCAATGGTGTAGTGGTCGAACAATGGGAATTATGTCCTTGCATTCAACGTACTCGGCGCCTTATATACGACCTCCGCCTGACGAGCTGTCTTGTATCGTCCAATGATCTTGAGGATAATAATAATTCTATTAAGCGCCCCGAGAAATGAATTGTAGCGCTTAGTAGAGCCGAATAGATTCATGAGAAGCATCAAACGTCAACCAACTGCCCAATAGGCATAACGCCGCGCGGCTGAGGATAAGGTGACAAAGTCCAGACGTAAGGTGTGAGTACAGCGAGGAAGCTGTGCCCAACTAAACGTCCACCACTTTGGCGTGAAGACCATACTAGGAGCGCAGCCATCCGACAAAACCAGTGGTAGTGAAGAGCTTCGTATGGCACTCAATCAATCACCGGGTCTATAGGCTTTGTAACACTGCGAGTACAGCTTCTGATGATAGAACGCCCCAGAACCCAGTTCTTTGTCACTTGCTACGCCTGATTGATAACTATTAGCCTAGTGTAAGATTTACAAGCTAGACGCTGATGCTCAAAAGTGGAGATGTCAATCAGCGACCAGTAAAACGAGGCAGTGGTGATCGTCGAGCAAGCATAAAGCAGTTCCAGACTGAAAGCTATTGCCGTTCTATGCGCCGGGCTTTCCATGAGAACTCGGTGACGGTCGACGACGGCGATCTTTTAACATTAGCCTACAATCGAGTTATACCTAGCTCTGCGGATTTTATTCTAATCTTCAGGTTAGGTATCAAACCGACAGTACAGGAGATATTCAGTACATGACCGGATTAAGCTCGGGAAAAGGGGAGGTGACCGGGGTGCGTAGTTCGCACAGCCAGTGTTGTGCGGGTCGGTGACTTGGCCCAAAGTCATGTACAAGTCATAAGTTGCCCGAAGGCAGGGCATTTTTTGCCCTGACCTTTTCCCACGGCCCTTGGTTTGACTTATAGGGGTCGAGGCAGACCACTGCTGGCATTTGCAAGAGATTTAAACATTCCTACAATGAGTATTAACTAAATATGAACAATAGAAGCTAAAAGTGCTATGAGGAATTGCCTCAGTTGTGCAAGCGTTGACGTAACGGCGCCTTGTTGATGGTGGTGGTGGTGGTGGTACCGGCGCAAGGTCCCAATAAGGAACGGCCGGGTCCGCAGCCCTGACATGGTGTGCCATGCGCTGCGGCCACAATGGTGAGATAGGGTAATCTGACGCTTAGTCATCCGCCCTGAAAGTCGAGGCAGAAAATGACTTTCCGACTTGTCACAAAGTCATTGCCCTGACCTTCGACTCTGGGTCGGTGCCCTTCCAACACTGCGCACAGCGCAGGTGTCCGTTTAGACTTTGATATTCGTAGCGGCGATTGGTAGGTCATTGGGTCGATGGTGTAGCTGATTATCGCATCTGTCTAACACGGTGAATGTCACAGAAGGTCCTCAGTTCGAACCTGGGTCGACTCACTCAATGCCCCACTAATAGTGGCCTTCATAGCCACCGACTATTCTGCTATCATGATATGTAAATTTTGACTTTTATCACTTCTAGAAATTAGTCCAGGGGAAGAAAAAGGGGTTCAAATCTCCACTGCTCAGTGCTTGTCACTGCCCACTGAAGACCTTAGTTATGTAAACCGTTTCCGAACAATGTGTTTTTTTATGTAACCTATAAATATTATTTAAATTGAGGAGAGACTGAAAAAAAAATCTGATCAAGAAGCCACAGGCCCACACGTCTGTTCCAATATACATGGTCAGAGTCAAGTTTCTGATATTGGAATCCTTAACGACGCATGAAAAACAGACTTGTACCTGAGAAGCAATCGTGAGAGCCCGGGATGGTGCCGCCATTTTCTTCCAATATTCAATCCAACATCTGCCATTGCATAGCTCCTCCTCTTGAAGTCAACTGTGCGATGGTTTCGCTGACTACGTCCTTCCACATCTTATGCGGGCGAAAGCAGCTGAGAAAGATTACCAGCTGTACGTTAGAATCAGGACTGCAAACTTCTCATACGTCTGTAACCATGACCTGTGGACGACGGTGATTGCTCCTCCATTTTCTATCTGTAAATTAAAGCATCAAACACACCCAGCTCGTCTATATCTTCGTCATAGATCTCGGCCATGCCTCCACGACTGTCGGAAATTTTCCGGAAACTCGGGCCAACGAAACGGCCGCGAAGTCGCGAGAAGAGCTCGGTATAAAATGACCGTTTAGACCCAAGCATTTTCTCCAAAATGTATCTCATTTCCACGCTGTGGTTACTTCTGACCTTGGAAGGTGGTTTCTGTCATGAAAGGTATGGCATAATGCAGCTCTTATATCGGCAAACTTCTCTTACCATACGTATAGCCCCAGTACTTTTACTGTATCCATCAGTATAACTCAGGAAGGCTACCGAACGATACCTCTTTCGTAAGGTCTTTTCACCGGTACTCGTGAAGTCGACTCGACGATATTGTATTCTAGACTGGGTACACCTCCTCGAGAGTTCAATCTCTGGCTTGACACAGGCTCAGATCCTACATGGGTTTTGGCCCAATCGTGTGTTGACTCGTGCCCGATTTCGGACGCTAACCGTATGGCTTACATCCCATCTGAGTCCTCGTCCTATAATGCCACGGGGGAAACCCTCGATGTCAGCTATCTCGGGGGTTCCGTTTCCGGGTGTGTTCCTCCTTGAATGATCGACCCTGTGCTCAATTGGAAAACAGCACAATCTTCATTGATGCGTTGTCCATCGCGAACTCTTCGACGGAAGTCTTCACACGAGTCCTTCTCGCCAACTACTCAAATTGGGTATGGCTCGATGCTGACGGAATGCTTGGCTTGGCTTTCCCTCGCGCAGAGTACGTTGGTCATTTATCCGAGGTAAAGTTTACTCACCGCGATGTCACTAGGGATGCCGTCCATGCCTCTCTCCTTGAGAGTCTCTTTAATCCAGAGACACTGGAGGCGCCTGAGTTCGCCATTTATGCTGGACAGGAACTCTCGCCAAACAACGGTATCTTCCAATTCGGCGGCCACTCCAGCGAGTACAACCGCACGGACGTAACCTACTTCAACGTTCAGCGCTACACCGACTACAACAATGAGCTTATTTATTGGTCTACCTACATCAACCGTGTTGACTTTAGTCTGAATACGAACGGGAGCATACAGGCCAATACCGTATATGTGCAGAATTATGCGGTATGGGACACTGGGTCGTCTTGGGTAACCGTGCCGGAGGCTTACATCGAGGACATCTACGCAAACATTGGAATGAACTATTCCTTCATTAAGCAGGGTGGTCGACCATTGTGCGAGGATCTTCGGAAATTGGACTTCAACATGACTATGATACTTCCGGAGGGTACGATCACGATCCGCCCTGCAGACCTGATTGCGCCAGGATATACAGAGGAGCAGTACTGTTGGCCAATGTTCGAGCCGTAAGAGTTTTCCCAACAACTTTAATTTAATTCTTCTTTGACCGGCTCGTTAGAACCTCTGGCAACGGATGGCTCGTCGGTATGCACCTTATTCGTAATTTTTACACGGTATGGGATATGGGTGGCTGGGAGATATCGGATGACTTGCAGCCACGACTTGGGTTCGCAGAGTTGAAGGCTGAGTATCATCCTTGAGCTTATTCTCGTTACGTCATGCTTCAATTATAATTGCCACCTACAGCGTGTTCGCCTTGCTGTTCGTCCATAAAATTTGTATAGGACCGCTTCTCCTTCAAGTCTGCTAATGAGACGTCGACGGTTTGGCGGGAGTCATCAGGATAGTCCACGAGAGTTAATCACTAATCCGCAGAATAGATATTACCGCCGTAAGCATCATCCCCACTGGCGCAGTCTACCCCAAGGCTTTCATTTTCCAACTATATGGAATTAGGATTTGTGCCCAGAATTTTACCCAAACAAAGATTTGCATGTGAATAACTGCGACTACTTTGAGGCATCATGCATCAGCGTCAAGTTTTGAATTGGATGGTCAGGGTTGCTGACATCGGGGACGCAATCTCCCTTGAGAACAATGATAACAACGCACAAGATGTACGGCAGATGACACCTAAAGGTAACCATTTTTCTAGGAAACACAAGTAAAAACACACTGTGTTAGGTTTGCTTAGGATCCGTTGAACGTACACAAGTGATACTAAGCCCTCCAAAATTATCTCTTCTTGCACAACGCATCGTCCAATAGTTCTAAAGCCAGACTTGCAGATCTCCAGGAAGACATATACCCATATCCGCCATGTCTGTACCACCGAGAACGTTATACGAGTCCAGAAAAAAGATCAAAAATAAATAAAACTTACCCATGATTCAGCGCCAGAGGAACAGCCCCGCTCAAATCCACATCGATCCGGATGCCTTGTTTTCTTCCCGGTCTCAAACCGCAACGATCTTCGATGATAATAGGTGCTATGTCCTCGACCCTCGCTTCTCTGATTGCCCGCACTTCCGGAGGGGCGATTTTCGGATATATCTTGAGAACACGTTCCAGTATCTCCTTGCTCGTTTCTGGACGTGCTAGGGAATACCAATCATCCTTTCCATATGTTCCTCCGACAACAACATCCCCGCTGCGTCTGGGGGTGACATAACTTATCGGCTCATCGTAGGTATGGATACATTCATCAACCCACGGCGCCTTCAACAAGATGGTCTGGCCACGAATCACGATCAAATCTTTATCCTCCACTCCACCAAGGAACCTTGCTCCGAGGCCAACGCATGCGACAACCGCGGCTGGTTTACATGAGTTCTTTGCACCAGTGAATGGTCCTACACCGCCTTCCATGACCTGGGACACATGTTGAACCTGCGCGCGGACTATGGCACCGCCATGTGCAAGAAACCGGGATAGTAAATAATTGAGATATATCGGCACGTCAACTGAGACGGTGCTGAATGAAACGCCCTCAATAAATCCTTCGGGAAGTTCTTCAGGATCCAGGTATCGAAACTATGGAGTGAGTTAAATATGTCCAGATTCGACGGTGGGAATAGTAGAAGCGTACATCTGGCATAGACTTCAAGGGATGTGGCTTTGGTCTTGATTCGCCATAGTATGACTTCTTTGTGAGCCGCTTAAAGCATCTTTCAGCTTCGCCACCTGGCGCAGATAAGTCCCACATAATCTTGAACGTTTCATTATCAAATTCTTCAACGCATCATGCAGCGTAAGTGTTTATGTTGGGATTATCTCTGGAACGGTGAAGCTGACCTGATTGTCTCGGGTGTGATTCGTCGACATAAGCTTGAGAGCTGCCGGAATGTATGGCTCCCTAGCACAATATCGCTCATCGCATGCGTACGGATGAAATGGTGACTGCAAGTACCCACCGCCTATTGGCTTGTGTATCTGATGGTCAACGGATCGCTTGGGAATGTCTCCGCGATAATGGCGACATGGTATTTCCTAGTTTCTTGTATCCGTAAGGCAGTCGTTAGACCAATCACACCTAAGAAACAGGTTAACGTCAATCAAACCTGACGAGGCCTGCTCACCTGCACCGATCACAACGATCACTTTCTCAGAGTCGATGGCCCGAGAGTCCATGAGATGCATCGACAAGATAGAGGCAAGAGTACGCTTCCAACTAAAAAAGACCAAGACCCGGCCGCGGCATCATGATAGGCACTTCGTTCAAACCGATTTAGAATTTCTTTACTTAAGGTATTCGGACCCTTGATACGTTCACAATCAACATAAGGCTTCAGCATCTTAGATCTCCTTCAGCGCATTCTCCAGAAGCTCCGTAGCAGCAAACGCAGACCCCCACGACGATTGGAATCCCTGGCCACCATGTCTAAGTAAGGTCGTGTGGGATTAGCTTCCGATAACTCAGAGAAACAATCGACATATCACTGACCCATAATTGCTGACGAGAGGAACTTTCCTTCCTTTGTTCTCTGTCCATCGGACATCAAGACGTATACCACCCTTCCTTCCAGGTCTCAAACCGCACCCTTCTGAAATGATAATTGGCCGGACATCGTCGATTGTAGGTGCCCGCTGTGCACGGATCTCTGGCGGTGCGAGCTCCGGGCACAACGCAAATCCGCGCTCAAGAACGTCTTCAGAGGTTTCGGGCCGTGGGTTTGGGTACCTAAAACCATCAAACACACGTCCACACGTGTAACAAAAATTCTAGAGCATACCAATCATCGTCGATCTTCGTACCACCTACAATAACCTATAGATTATATTTTCCATTCAGTAAAGGAGTCGATGAAATACTCGGAAGGCACTTACATCACCACTTCTTCTCGGTATAATATACGTCCACAGCCCTTCTTTCGTACTGATTGTCCTTCCAAACCTGATCCACGGCGCCCGAATCAATAAGATCTGTCCGCGGATCGGGTAACAGTCCTTGTCTTCAATTCCCACCATAAACCGAGCCCCCAGACCTGCGCAGACGATTACAGCATCAGGCGATGTGGGAACCTTACTTCCA